TCTATCTATCTATCTATCTATCTATCTATCTATCTATCTATCTATCTATCTATCTATCTATCTATCTATCTATCTATCTATCTATCTATCTATCTATCTATCTATCTATCTATCTATCTATCTATCTATCTATCTATCTATCTATCTATCTATCTATCTATCTATCTATCTATCTATCTACATCTATCTATCTTCTATCTATCTATCTATCTATCTATCTCTATCTATCTATCTATCTATCTATATATCTATCTATCTATCTATCTATCTATCTATCTATCTATCTATCTATCGATCTATCTATCTATCTATCTATCTATCTATCTAGCTATCTATCTATCTATCTATCTATCTATCTATCTATCTATCTATCTATCTATCTATCTATCTATCTATCTATCTATCTATCTATCTATCTATCTATCTATCTATCTATCTATCTATCTATCTATCTATCTATCTATCATTTACTCAGGAAAGAGTACCTTTTATAGATTTTCATTCATTCCGGAAGGTGCCATGCCCACTATATCCTGTTTTTGTTCACAAATGTTCACATGGATGGATGTCAAAGTTGTCCATTTAATTTTTCAATTATAGATATAGATAAAGCCGACTCTTAGATGGATTCGACGTTCCCACGACAATCGCAATTCTTACCAGCGGAACTACTAGGAGTTCAACGAACAACGATTAAGGATTATCAACTCAGCAACACCGACTTTACACGTGTTGCTGTTACAAGAACAACAATATGAATCCAAGAGGAAAATATTAACATTAAACACCTAAGAAATCTTTGTATTTAAAACATAGATTTAACTTTAATTAAATTTAATAAAATATTTCCTTAAATAAGAAATATATTTCGCACCTAAAGAGTTTTCCACTGAAAAAGCTTTGTTTGGAAAACCTTTTGTGGTTTCCACTTAATTCCCTCAAGAATTACACAAGTTAATGAAAATAAATATTAAAAAAGCATTGAGAATAATGCATCTTTTGTTGTGTTCATAACCTTCGAGGGAGGGAACCAAACTTCCATCAAATTCCAAGAATAAATATAGAAAATTAAATTTAAAGTAAAAGTGCAAATGTAAGTATAAATAAGGAGAGAAAAAAAAATAATAATAATAAAGAAAACAAAACTGTTATAGTCACAAATTATGCAAATCAAATTATTTGATGACATCGTTAAGGATTCTGTAAAACATGAAGTGACAATGACAACACAACCAATTCAACAACAATTTACGTGTAAAATGAATTTGTAAAAGAAAGAGAGACAAACAGTCCGACCGTCAGACAGTCAAACACAGTTATCTTCAGCACATGACATGTTAGGCCGTTAGGCTGAGGTTTGGGTTTACTCCAACACATAAACTCAGTAGATTTTTTATTTGTTCATGACTTTCTTTCACAGCAACGGCAAAGAACAACCATCATTCAGTCGTAACCTCATCCATAGCAAAAAGTTGTATGACAATGAGCATGTTGGTGATAATGAAGATAATGCTGATGATGATGACGACGATGATTTAGTTAAAGATGATGAACCTTAATTCGTATTTCTGTTCTTGGCACAAACTACTTATACTTGGAATCATTCACTCACCGTACTATACACAACATGTCGCATCTTAGTGACACTGCCACCACTAATGTCAATGTCAAGTTACAGAGTCGGTTTCTTTGTCCTTTTTCCTCTCTTCGTTCATTTTTTTATTTTATTACTGTAATAATGTTGTTGGTTTCTTTTCATTTTCCTCTTTTCTCTTATATTTATTTAAAATATAGAAAGTTATGTTTGTTGCTGGATTTAAAACGGATGATAAAATTAAAACTCAAGGAAGTATTTGACAATGAAGAGAACTTGTAATCGTCAGTACGTAAACACCAGCCATGTTCCAACAGATGTATGAAGTTTATAGTATAAACGTACTTTTTATGTTTTTCTACTCCTTTTTTTGTGCCATTTCCGTTCAGTCGAGTTCATTTTAAATTTATTTTTATAAAATTCAATGTCATCTGGCGTAAAATGTTGTTTGTGGCGTAACTTTTACTAGTACAGCCTCCTTTAGCTTAAGGCGCCTTCACCTAAAGATTTACTCATCGTTAGTAGGTTGATGATGACGACAATAAAAATAATAATAATTTCAAATTTACGGAAATTCAAGGGGAAAATAAGATTAACCAAAGAAATTTACTAAAACGACAGTTTCTTTTTTAGTTTAAACTTTTTCTTATATATTTGTACTCGTTTTTCTTTAAGAGACTGTCGCAGTGTAAAAAATCAGCAATGTGGAAAATGTGGCTAATGAAAAAAAAAACAAGAAACTGACAATAGAAATGGAAATAAAATCAAATGGTACATGTTAAAGATAAAAAAAACCCAAACATGAATAGCTAATAGCCGTAGAATCTAACTAAGCGAAAAATGTCTTTAAATATAAAAAGATTTAAATATAAAAATATTTAAATATAAAAATATTGTTTTAACTAGATGTTCCAAAGTTCAGAATAAGGGTATAAATGTCAAACATCAATCTCAAAGATCTCTCAAACTTAAAGTGAGATTAAAATGCCATATTTTTCAATAAATCTATCGATTTTAACTCCCTACAGTTCTCTGTTTTCGGTGTTCCCCTAGGCATGTTATCTTGCTGATCTTCCCTTATCTTGGTGTAATTGAATCCGGGGGAAAGAAATGTCGTTGATAGTAGTCCCCCAAGGCATGTTACCTTGATAGTAGTCCCCAAGCTCTTTTGTCCCTGATTGCAATCAGGACTATAACTGGTCGTTCCTTGGAATGATTTGACCTGAGGTCGAAACAGTCATATGTTTAATTTAGTATCACAGAAACCGTTAGCCGAAGGTTTCCGAGGCCAAGTTTCGGACTTTGTCTTTCGGAGTTTACGTGATTTAAAACCACAGGAAGAGAATATTGGTTAAAAGACTAATACACGGTAAAGTCCATAATTCGGGATAAGTTCGGTGCTGTTGCCGAGACAATAGATAACCCAAAGAGGAGTGACTGTGGGACTAAGCGTTGGAAATGAGTTGGTGTCAAATATATACAATACGGTGTGGATGAAGGGGTATGCCAGCCTTATCCATCCGTATATCTAGAGTGAGTGTGTCGAATGTTTTTCTCAATGAGTGCGTCGGGTTGAATGGTGATGGATGTAAGGTATTTATACAAATGATACCATTGAATATTCCCTCCTTGTCCAGGTATGTATATGTATGTATATTCATCTGTTCATACTACATTTACCGCAGTGTGTTCTCTATAAGTAATTGGATTAATTGATGGAATCGTATTTCGGTCTACCGATTACGTCTTTAGGTGATGTTGCCGAATCAACAGAAACCATCAAATCTACGGGCGTTGTTGTTTGGCAGTTAAGCAATGGGGCAGCAATGGGAGAGAGAGACATCTACTTAATAGGCAGTTTGGCAGGTGTTCGCGTAAAGCACTCGACTTCTTCTTTCAATCGGTAAGGACCTAGTAATGTTGTTTTGATGCTTGTCATTAGATTGCGGCTGATTGTTATAGAACAAAATTCAGAAATATCATGAATTGATAGATTAGATTGTGACAGTTACCGTTGATAATGATGACCTCAGTAAGCCTTCCAGAATTTTATTGCCCTCTAGGCGCACTCTACAATCGAATTGTTGTCCACTCATAATACGTATCACCATACTAATCTAAAACTTGCTTATTCTAAGATCTGAACATAAGATCAGTTGATACCGTAGATCCAGTTTTCGATTGCAATTCAAACTGTAGTATATAGTGTGCGACCAAGACAATTTGGAACTAGAGTTGGTCCCTAACGAGTTAGGGGACCAGTTTTGATCCAATTCCTTTATGATCGTTTTAATCAGTTATGATTTTGATATAAAAATGTTAAACAAGACTGAGGGTGTTCAGCAACCGTAATAAAGAAATTTTCATTGATTATCTCTAAATAAATTAAGATTAAATTATATTTTATTTATGTTTAATTTACGTTTAACAGTTTCTTTTCTATTGAAAATCCTTAATTTTTCATAAAATGTATATCTTCCGTGTTTTAATTCAATTAAAAGTTATCTCAGACATGTTCTATACTTCTTCCAACACTGAACTATTTAATATCCTTTAACAGACTATAGTGTGTAAACAAAAAGCACGTGTTTTAACAGAAAACAATAACCATTCACTCAACAAATATTCATAAAGAAAATAAATGGTTATTGAATGAAAATCCATAAATCGATATGAAAACAAACAAAACCACAATGTTTAAAATCAGGTATTTTAAAAGAGAAAAAACCAAAAAAGTTTGTGGAAGGAAAAACCGCCAACAATTATATGAACTGCATGCAAATACACGCAATACGAAATCCTCCCACTAAACCGACAACAAAAATAAAACTCATCAAAGCTATAAAAACTGAACTTATATGTAAAAAAAGACGTAAAAAAGTGTCATATAAAGCTGTAGGAAAAACAAAACGGGAAAAGTTTTTATACAAAAATTTAAAACCGGCAACAGCAATATTGTATAAAGATTTAATCTCAAACACACTCATATTCTGACACTAACAAAACCCTGCAGTTCAGAATGACACTCCCTAACTAAAACTAATAAAAAAATGATTAAAATACAAGAATATAAAGTAACTACAGTCCAGATTACTTATTTACAGCGACTTACTTAGATTGACTACTCGCTAGATTACTTGGGGACATAAAGGTGACATTGGCTTTTTCTGCATTAGAAAGAGTACTATTACTTTGATATTTGAGAAAAATACTGTCTTTAAATAAAGCATTGATTTCTAAAACTGCTGGGTATACATACCAACATACAAACTGACTCCTTTAGCGGATTATAACACCAACAACAACAGTTAACAAACCTATTGTTGCCATTTTCTCTCAACATATTGATAAAGCATTAAAAACCGGCAAAAAGCAAACAAACAAATCAAATGCGTCTACTACTCACCATCATATCTTGGGGAATGTAAAAATCTGATACAGCTGCTGCCAAATACAAGACCGCTCTCTCCTCAAATGCTGCCAAACATTCGCAGGCGGCACGCAACAGCCACATATAGTCGACGACACTGGTAAAGCTGACATACAAAATCATTTGTGATTCACGTGCCTGTTTGTATTTGGCCAAGATGGGTGCAAATACATCCACGGAATCGGGTTTAACAGTGATTGAGGTACTTTGGCCATTGTCGGTAATGTCGAGCATATCGAAAAATTGTTGCCCCGTAAAGTGACGTGTAAAGGGTTCGAGGGACTTTTGGCGATGCATAAAGATCACGGCATAATTGTGATCGAGGAAATATTCGGCTGAGGAAGAGCCACGTGTACCGGCACTAAAATTATCAACAAAACGTACGTATTGTGCTCCAATGGGACGGTTGTACCACCTGACTGCAATTTTAAGAGTAGAAAAGAAAATTAATTTATTACCATAAATCTTGTTCAAGAAACCTTAAATAAAAATTTAATGTATTTCTTTTTATTTGCCATGATGTACATATAATGTAAGTTGGTTTTATTGAAAATTTGTATAAAATTTTGCCATGACCAGTTGTGCCCTTTGGGCCACATGATTATTATTTGTATTTTCTAAATTGTTTTCTTTTTTATTTTGCCTTTTTATTATACATATTTACATACATACATTCGCTCATATTTCGTCGCTGTTATTTTTGTGTAAGAGACCATTCTGGTTGTTGGGGTCGTATAATTTATATTTATTTTACAAACAAATTTCGATTTGCAACACTTATACGCCATCGTACCATATGCCGACAAAATATAATAAATAGTAACAATAGAATTATTATATTTGACCATGATTATAATTTAAACAAATTTTCACACCAGATTACAAACACAGAAGCTAAGGTCAATTTTATAAATTTTTTTTTATTTTTCTGTCTACTGCTTTTATTGGCCAAAATTATGATTGATGTGGTTGTTTATTGACTGTTACGGACTGACTGAAATGAATGATGTCTACAGGTTTTTTAAGTTTTATTCAGAAAACGAGACTTTAATTTAAAAAGAACCAATATTACAATCGATTTTAGGTCAGTTCTAATTCAATTCTAGTTCAGTTCTAGTTCAGTTCTAGTTCAGTTCTAGTTCAGTTCTAGTTCAGTTCTAGTTCAGCTCTAGTTCAGCTCTAGTTCAGTTCTAGTTCAGTTCTAGTTCAGTTCTAGTTCAGTTCTAGTTCAGTTCTAGTTCAATTCTAGTTCAGTTCTAGTTCTGTTCTAGTTCTGTTCTAGTTCAGTTCTAGTTCAGTTCTAGTTCTGTTCTAGTTCTGTTCTAGTTCTGTTCTAGTTCAGTTCTAGTTCAGTTCTAGTTCAGTTCTAGTTCTGTTCTAGTTCTGTTCTAGTTCTGTTCTAGTTCTGTTCTAGTTCTGTTCTAGTGCTGTTCTAGTGCTGTTCTAGTTCTGCTCTAGTTCTGCTCTAGTTCTGTTCTAGTTCTCTTCCAGTTCTGTTCCAGTTCTGTTCCAGTTCTGTTCCAGTTCTGTTCTAGTTCTGTTCTAGTTCTGTTCTAGTTCTGTTCTAGTTCTGTTCTAGTTCTGTTCTAGTTTTGTTCTAGTTCTGTTCTAGTTCTGTTCTGGTTCTGTTCTAGTTCTGTTCTAGTTCTGTTTAGTTCTGTTCTAGTTCTGTTCTAGTTCTGTTCTGTTCTAGTTCTGTTCTAGTTCTGTTCTAGTTCTGTTCTGTTCTAGTTCTGTTCTAGTTCTGTTCTGGTTCTGGTTCTGTTCTAGTTCTGTTCTAGTTCTGTTCTAGTTCTGTTCTAGTTCTGTTCTAGATCTGTTCTAGTTCAGTTCTAGTTCTGTTCTGTTCTAGTTCTGTTCTAGTTCTGTTCTAGTTCTGTTCTAGGTTCTGTTCTAGTTCTGTTCTAGTTTCTGTTCTAGTTCTGTTCTAGTTCTGTTCTAGTTCTGTTCTAGTTCTGTTCTAGTTCTGTTCTAGTTCTGTTCTAGTTCTGTTCTAGGTCTGTTCTAGTTCTGTTCTAGTTCTGTTCTAGTTCTGTTCTAGTTCGGTTCTAGTTCTGTTCTAGTTCTGTTCTAGTTCTTGTTCTAGTTCTGTTCTAGTTCTTTCTAGTTCTGTTCTAGTTCTGTTCTAGTTCTGTTCTAGTTCTGTTCTAGTTCTGTTCTAGTTCTGTTCTAGTTCTGTTCTAGTTCTGTTCTAGTCTGTTCTGTTCTAGTTCTAGTTCTGTTCGGGTCTGTTCTAGTTCTGTTCTAGTTTCTGTTTCTAGTTCGGTTCTAGTTCTGTTCTAGTTCTGTTCTAGTTCTGTTCTAGTTCTGTTCTAGTTCTGTTCTAGTTCTGTTCTAGTTCTGTTCTAGGTTCGTTCTAGTTCTGTTCTAGTTCTGTTCTAGTCTGTTCTAGTTCTGTTCTAGTTCTGTTCTAGTTCTGTTCTAGTTCTGTTCTAGTTCTTTCTAGTTCTGTTCTAGTTCTGTTCTAGTTCTGTTCTAGTTCTAGTTCTGTTCTAGTTCTGTTCTAGTTCTGTTCTAGTTCTGTTCTAGTTCTGTTCGTAGTTCGTTCTAGTTCTGTTCTAGTTCCTGTTCTAGTTCTGTTTCTAGTTCTGTTCTAGTTCTGTTCTAGTTCTGTTCTAGTTCTGTTTCTAGGTCTGTTGTTCTAGTTCTGTTCTTAGTTCTGTTCAGTTTCTGTTCTAGTTCTGTTCTAGTTCTGTTCTAGGTTCTGTTCTAGTTCTGTTCTAGTTCTGTTCTAGTTCTGTTCTAGTTCTGTTCTAGTTCTGTTCTAGTTCTGTTCTAGTTCTGTTCTAGTTCTGTTTCTAGTTCTGTTCTAGTTCTGTTCTAGTTCTGTTCTAGTTCTGTTCTAGTTCTGTTCTAGTTCTGTTCTAGTTCTGTTCTAGTTCTGTTCTAGTTCTGTTCTAGTTCTGTTCTAGTTCTGTTCTAGTTCTGTTCTAGTTCTGTTCTAGTTCTGTTCTAGTTCTGTTCTAGTTCTGTTTCTAGTTCTGTTCTAGTTCTGTTCTAGTTCTGTTCTAGTTCTGTTCTAGTTCTGTTCTAGTTCTGTTCTAGTTCTGTTCTAGTTCTGTTCTAGTTCTGTTCTAGTTCTGTTCTAGTTCTGTTCTAGTTCTGTTCTAGTTCTGTTCTAGTTCTGTTCTAGTTCTGTTCTAGTTCTGTTCTAGTTCTGTTCTAGTTCTGTTCTAGTTCTGTTCTAGTTCTGTTCTAGTTCTGTTCTAGTTCTGTTCTAGTTCTGTTCTAGTTCTGTTCTAGTTCTGTTCTAGTTCTGTTCTAGTTCTGTTCTAGTTCTGTTCTAGTTCTGTTCTAGTTCTGTTCTAGTTCTGTTCTAGTTCTGTTCTAGTTCTGTTCTAGTTCTGTTCTAGTTCTGTTCTAGTTCTGTTCTAGATCTGTTCTAGTTCTGTTCTAGTTCTGTTCTAGTTCTGTTCTAGTTCTGTTCTAGTTCTGTTCTAGTTCTGTTCTAGTTCTGTTCTAGTTCTGTTCTAGTTCTGTTCTAGTTCTGTTCTAGTTCTGTTCTAGTTCTGTTCTAGTTCTGCTCTAGCTCTGTTCTAGTTCTGTTCTAGTTCTGTTCTAGTTCTGTTCTAGTTCTGTTCTAGTTCTGTTCTAGTTCTGTTCTAGTTCTGTTCTAGTTCTGTTCTAGTTCTGTTCTAGTTCTGTTCTAGTTCTGTTCTAGTTCTGTTCTAGTTCTGTTCTAGTTCTGTTCTAGTTCTGTTCTAGTTCTGTTCTAGTTCTGTTCTAGTTCTGTTCTAGTTCTGTTCTAGTTCTGTTCTAGTTCTGTTCTAGTTCTGTTCTAGTTCTGTTCTAGTTCTGTTCTAGTTCTGTTCTAGTTCTGTTCTAGTTCTGTTCTAGTTCTGTTCTAGTTCTGTTCTAGTTCTGTTCTAGTTCTGTTCTAGTTCTGTTCTAGTTCTGTTCTAGTTCTGTTCTAGTTCTGTTCTAGTTCTGTTCTAGTTCTGTTCTAGTTCTGTTCTAGTTCTGTTCTAGTTCTGTTCTAGTTCTGGTCTAGTTCTGTTCTAGTTCTGTTCTAGTTCTGTTCTAGTTCTGTTCTAGTTCTGTTCTAGTTCTGTTCTAGTTCTGTTCTAGTTCTGTTCTAGTTCTGTTCTAGTTCTGTTCTAGTTCTGTTCTAGTTCTGTCCTAGTTCTGTTCTAATCCTTCACCTAACATCTATAAACCACTTAATATAAATATTTTGTAAATCCAATGGTATTTTTAAAATTAAAGTAGTTTTCCCACTTACTCATCAATACAATATTGAAATTTTCCTTTTCCCTATAAATATTTTTAATGCTTCTTTTCTTAACACCATTTTAAAGAAGCCCGCTATTAAACTTAATTAAACAAGTAGAATGAAACAATTTTAGTGTTTTGTATCTTGGGGATTTTTTAATAAATAATTTCGTAACAAGCCACATACAGTCAGTTAGTTGTTTCCCTCTAAAAACTATAAACATAAATTTCATTGTTGGTTATAAAACAATGTAGAAATGAACAAAGTAACACTATTAGTCAGTTCGAGCGTTTTTCAGTTGTATGTTGTTATTTTTACGCCTTCTATAACAGAGTTTTAGTTGTGTTTCACTAATGATTTGCAGAAAAGTTTGTAATAAATACTAAAATTTTTACTTGTTCTATGTGGTAATTGTGTTGGCTCAAATTAATTTGATTCATTAAATGTATTCAACTTAATGGTTTTTAGGTTTTTTTTTGGGAAATTTCTTTAAGATTCATTATAATGATGAGTCATGTGGGAAAATTTCTTAAAAGCATTAAGGATATTGTAGCTTTTGTTGTGTTTGATTATTTAAGGTTAAAGGAATCATGGTAAATGACACTTTTAATTAATTGTTTAATAATAAAAGAAACACAGGAAACGTGGCATTGTATATTAAGGATTAAGAAATAATCCTAAAAGGAAAATCCTGGAAACCTTTTGGAATTTTGTTGCATGTGTTTTAGTCTACCACTATGGGGGTCGTGTGTTCGATTCCCACTAGAGACTCTGGTCTGTTCTTATCCTGTGTTCAGTTCTTAAGTTAGAATATAATTTGTAACTGGATGCCAGAAACAATATAACAACTTTACTATAGTGATAAACCCTTACACGTGCTTCTTAAATAAAACATCCAACATTAAATTAAATATTTGTACTGGATTTAATAGGATGAAACCATTAAAAGTTCTTTTTCGCATCATTTTTAACAGATTATTTAAACATTGATCCACACGACAACATTTGGTTTCATGGCTTTGCATCAAAAAAAAACATAATAAAAAGTAATACATCTACAGACAGATTCATTGAACATAAAAATTTATACAAAAAGAGAAAAAAGGACAAAAAAATGTACAATGTTCGAACAAAATATTATAAGAATATCGTATACAGCAATACTTACTGTTACAAGGACGATTCTGTTTTGTAGTTTATTGTGTCGTTCACAAAATTCTTTCAATAATGAACGATTATCCTCAAAATCTGCTGGGGGTAGATGTGTATTGTAAAATCCTCCCAATTTGTCATAATGATATACGGTTTTTTATTTTTTTCGGTATTTATGGTTTTTATTATATGATTTCTTTTTTTTTTGGTTTTGGTCTCTAGAGTATGAGTGGTATGATGATGACAATTTTATACACTCAATAAGTTTGTTGTCGAGGATTAAGAGTGATGTGCAATTTATTGCTGCTGCTGGTGTTGACTGAATTATTCAAATTAAAGTACCGCGCACTCCTCTTGATGTTAGTCAATAATAATGCTGAATATTACAGAAAAATAAAACAAAAAATTGCTATTTAATAACGAAATTAATAAGTGCATGTAATAACTAGCTAACATAACATACATACAAACATCTGTATGTTAGTATTTGAGTAATTAAATAATACACTTAAATACATATATGTATTAATAAGTTTATAGATGCAAATTTCTTTCCCTTTGAACATGCCCTTTTGCATTTTCCTTTTAATTTTTTTTTTTTCTATTAAAAATGATGTAAAACATGAATAATCCTTTTAACCACTTGTATTATCTTTCCAAGAGCCTTTAATTGTTCCACTTGACGAAACGGAAATTATTAGTCTTTATTACAAGAAAAATTGTAAAATTAGGGCGAACGGACATTTTAATATAAACAATGTAATGGAAATCAAACAAACAAACAAACAGACAAACAAACAAACAGACAAACAAACAAACTAACTAACAACTAACTAACTAACTAACTAACTAACTAACTAACTAACTAACTAACTAACTAACTAACTAACTAACTAACTAACTAACTAACTAACTAACTAACTAACTACTAACTAACTAACTAACTAACTAACTAACTAACTAACTAACTAACTAACTAACTAACTAACTACTAACTAACTAACTAACTAACTAACTAACTAACTAACTAACTAACTAACTAACTACTAACTAACTAACTAACTACTAACTAACTAACTACTAACTAACTAACTAACTACTAACTAACTAACTAACTAACTAACTAACTAACTAACTAACTAACTAACTAACTAACTAACTAACTAACTAACTAACTAACTAACTAACTAACTAACTAACTAACTAACTAACTAACTAACTAACTAACTAACTACTAACTAACTAACTAACTAACTAACTAACTAACTAACTAACTAACTAACTAACTAACTAACTAACTAACTAACTAACTAACTAACTAACTAACTACTAACTAACTAACTAACTAACTAACTAACTAACTAACTAACTAACTAACTAACTAACTAACTAACTAACTAACTAACTAACTAACTAACTAACTAACTAACTAACTAACTAACTAACTAACTAACTAACTAACTAACTAACTAACTACTAACTAACTAACTAACTAACTAACTAACTAACTAACTAACTAACTAACTAACTAACTAACTAACTAACTAACTAACTAACTAACTAACTAACTAACTAACTAACTAACTAACTAACTAACTAACTAACTAACTAACTACTAACTAACTAACTAACTAACTAACTAACTAACTAACTAACTAACTAACTAACTAACTAACTAACTAACTAACTAACTAACTAACTAACTAACTAACTAACTAACTAACTAACTAACTAACTAACTAACTAACTAACTAACTAACTACTAACTAACTAACTAACTAACTAACTAACTAACTAACTAACTAACTAACTAACTAACTACTAACTAACTAACTAACTAACTAACTAACTAACTAACTAACTACTAACTAACTAACTACTACTAACTAACTAACTAACTACTAACTAACTAACTAACTAACTAACTAACTAACTAACTAACTACTAACTAACTAACTAACTACTAACTAACTAACTAATACTAACTAACTAACTAACTAACTAACTAACTAACTAACTAACTAACTAACTAACTAACTAACTACTAACTAACTAACTACTAACTAACTAACTAACTAACTAACTAACTAACTAACTAACTAACTAACTAACTAACTAACTAACTAACTAACTAACTAACTAACTAACTAACTAACTAACTAACTAACTAACTAAGTAACTAACTAACTAACTAACTAACTAACTAAGTAACTAACTAACTAACTAACTAGTTCTTATCCAGAAAAGAAACGATTTTCTGAAGTACATGAAGGACGAAAGGATTTTGGGTCCCATGGATTGCACATGGGGAACGATTAGTTAAACGTAAATGGCTCAGTTTGCACAATATAAATTTACTAAAAGTTGTAATTCCCCCATCATTCCGCGCAATTTTTGATATCCTGTTCTAACGTTAAACTTATCGCGGATATATAGTAGTCGGATGGGGCAAGCTCTCGACTATAAGACGGATAAGGCAAAACCTTCCTTCGTGTCATGATGGCATATTATACATTCATTTCTGGCCGCATATTATGGACATTTATAAAAACAACTTTCGAAAGGTCTCAGATATCTTCGGAATCAAAACCCTTCATTCCTTAGAGTTATTGGTAAACATATTATGTTACACAAATCGGTCAGTTGCAATAATAGGTATAATATAATAGGCAAATCGAGCCCGCACTTTATTATACCCGCACCACCTTAAAGTATACCGATCGATTCAGAATCATTTTTTGAGTCGATTAAGACATGTCCGACCTCCGTCTGTCCGGCTGGCTGGCTGTCCATGTAAACCTTGTCAAGATAATTTGATGAAATTTGGACCAAACTTGATTTTTGGCACAAGGACGAAGCCTATTGAAAATGGTTGAAATCGGTCCATTATTTCACCTAGCCCCCATACAACCGTACCTCCCGATTTGGGCTTTTTATGCCATAATTACGTCAAATATACTATTATCTCTCTAAAAATTGACACAAATAAGTTTTATATAAGTGTAAATGACACTGCAGATTTCCGTAATGATCGGCCCTTATTTGACCCTAGCCCCCATACAAACCATCCTTCAAAAAATATCTTAAACGTCTTAAATTGACTGGTAACCATTTGTATCGCAATGAAACTCAACATAACTAACTATTATTTAAAAATATATCCTTTTCCCAAATTGAATGAGGATCGGCCCATGTTTGACCTATACTCCTATATAAAGCATCATTTAGAAATTTTTTTTTTATCAATAAATTGCTTAAATACTTTGGAATTAAGGTAAAATTCAACATAAAAGTTTCATTATGAAAAATAAATTTTTTTAAAATATACTCATGGTGTAGGGTATTATATGCTCGGCCATGCCCGACTATACTTTCCTAATTGTTTTTTAAATATTTTTGAATTAATCTTAAATTGTTATTACATTGAATAATAGATGTTTCTTACCAATGAAATAATAATGATAATAACAACAAATTAATTAATATTAAATGTCTCTCTATATTTAACCTCATCAAATATGACAATCCTCATAAAAAACAAAACCAATAGCAATTGAATGGAGGAGCACCCTAGTGTAAACAACACATCTGGCGTTGGTCAAACTAAATAGCAAATTGGTCAATAGTTTTTAGTCGTTCAAGTTCAACAAAAATTTACCTTATTTACTTTAGTGGAAATAAAGGAAGAAAAATATGAACAAAAAATATAATAAACATGGTATATAGAATTATATATGACCATAACGGAAAATAATAGAAAAAAGCAGAAAAACAAAAAAAATTGTGAAAATCAATTAAGGTAATTAAAATGTTTTCAAAATAGTTGAATGAAAAAAAGGAAAATAAATAAAAATTTATAAACATATGTCTCTATGTAAGATGATTGTATTACGTTATACATATATTTATTAATTGAATAGTTTCATGTCATGTTTTTGTATTTATTTTGTATTATTTCTCTTGTTTTTTTAGGTTAAGGCTGCCATTGACAAGTAAAGGAAAAAGGAAATACTTGTTGTACATTTTGAAACTTGTGAATGAATGATGGAAAATTAATTGTAGCGTATTAGAGGCGCGTATGAGCAAATATTAGAGGCAGCTATTTTAAAGAATTAATTTTGTTAAAATAAATACCTATGTTAAGTATCATCAAGATGTTTAATGATAAAAAATATGTACATATATTAAGAATAATGAATCGTAACCGCAGGTACCTTAAATGGATTGTATCACATCTGGAAAATAGCAATATATTGAAGTTAAACATGAATAAGATAGGAAACCACCCTATTTTACTCCTATTTTAACTCTAAGAGGTTTTAAACATTTAACTTAACGACTGACAGTCACTGAGATAATTCACTGTACAATATGGTTTTATTTTTTTATTTATTTAAACATTTTAGTTCTGTTCTAGTTCTGTTCTAGTTCTGTTCTAGTTCTGGTCTAGTTCTGTTCTAGTTCTGTTCTAGTTCTGTTCTAGTTCTGTTCTAGTTCGGTTCTAGTTCTGTTCTAGTTCTGTTCTAGTTCTGTTCTAGTTCTGTTCTAGTTCTGTTCTAGTTCTGTTCTAGTTCTGTTCTAGTTCTGTTCTAGCTCTGTTCTAGTTCTGTTCTAGTTCTGTTCTAGTTCTGTTCTAGTTCTGTTTTAGTTCTGTTCTAGTTCTGTTCTAGTTCTGTTCGCAACAAGGTTTCTGGATTAAATCACTTCCAACTTTTCTACGCTGATACAGGGTCTCGATCGAGAACATGTATCTTATGTCACAAGAACTTATGTTTTCTCCTCTCAACAGGATTATTCACATCGGATGCAACGGTGCTGAAGCAAGGTCGTGGCAACATATACCTTGCATTTGTTTACCTGCCTTTCGATTCTCCGATACTACCACCAACGTCGGAGCTGATGAACTAGTCGAAGAGGCACAAAGGAATAATAAGAAAATTGTAATAGGTTGTGATGCCAACTCCCACCATGTAGCTTGAGTAGTACAAACACCAATCGCAGGGGACAAGCCCTTATGGATTTCCTTAATGCTAATGACTTGATCACATCGAAATTAGGTAATAAAGCTACCTTTGTCAATAGAATCAGAGAGGAAGTATTAGATATAACTATATGATCAGAAGAGCTTATAAACGAAATTCAGGAATGGAGAGTTTCGGACGAGCACTCCTTTTCTGACCATCGGTACATAAGATTCAAAATACTACGGCCGCCACCAAAGCCGATAAAGTTTCGGACTAAGTCTAAAACTAATTGGAAAATGTTCGGTTCCTTACTAAAGAACCGTTTATGTCAGGACACTTTTCAATGTCGAAATAAAGAAGACAAAGACGCCAAAGTGGAAATGCTCACAAGTGCCTTGGTTGAATCGTTCGAGGAC